GTGTGTGTGTGTGTGTGTGTGTGTGTGTGTGTGTGTGTGTGTGTGTGGCCATTTTTATTATCGGTGTTGACAGGATAAGAGGATCTTGTCCCACAGTCCAAGATGCTTCTGGCTGCTCTGCGACACGTAACTCACAAGAGGTACAGCAAACTGCTTAAGTATTATTTTATATATTTTCTTTCATATTTTTTTTTTGTTTACCAGGTCCATTGTTCTTTGTAACTGCCTGTGTATCCGAACCATAAAAAGTCCTATAAAATATCTCAATGCTGATGTACAGGTAGATCCTAGTTCAAAAGATTATTGTTCTAAACTTGCACAGCTGGAGAAATCCAAAGCCCAGTTTGTTAAAGTGAACCAGCTGGAGGACACTCAGGCTGTTCGTGCAGTGGCCTTCCATCCCTCTGGGGCGCTCTATGCTGTCGGCTCCAACTCAAAAACCCTGAGAGTCTGTGGCTACCCAGAGACACTGAACGTCAGGTAGGAGCTATTTACATGTGCCTACAAATCCAAACCGTGAGGTATTCTTACCAGATGAGAAACTATTTATGCACTAGAAAATAGATGGTGGTAGCTTCTTAGAAAATGTTACTAAAGTTTGTTCATACACAGAAAACAATCTACAGTGTGTTTCAACGTAACTTGTGGTGGCAGCATGGGTGTTACTGTAAATGTACATACAAGTACACTGCTCACACAATGTACATATGTACATTGTGTGAGCAATTTTCTATCATGACCAAGGAAAGCGAAAAGCAAAAACTGCTACATTCCTGTTCTGTGTCTTCAATTCTATTTATTTTAATTTGATAAAAAGTCAACAAAACTTTGAGGAACATGGTTGTTTTACACCAAGAAAAGTAAATAATATTTTAATCCAAGTTGCAATTCTTCCCACAATTATGATATAACATTTTAGAGTTCACGCCTTGTCTTTCTTGTATTTTCCTGACCTGTCCAGTGGTTCTGGTGCAGTCAAACAGCCAGCAGTGCGCTTTAGGAGGAACAAACACCACAAGGGCTCAATCTACTGTGTAGCCTGGAGCCACTGTGGACAACTGTTGGCTACTGGCTCCAATGACAAATTTGTCAAAGTCCTGCCATTCAATGCAGAGAGCTGCAATGCCACAGGTATTATTGTATGTGTTTTAGTGTGTATGTGATGGGCAATGTCCATTTTCCCAACCACACCACACTTTTGTTTGAATTATCACTTACTTACTTACTTATTTGCATTTTTCATTGATACAATGGTGTTGTTTCCACCCTAAATGTACGTCTCTGATTTAGGCCCAGACCTGGAGTTCAGCATGCATGACGGTACCATCAGGGACCTGGCCTTCATGGAGGACCCTGAGAGTGGAGGATCCATCTTGATCAGTGCAGGGGCCGGAGACTGCAACATCTACACAACAAACTGTCAGAGAGGACAGGGGCTTCACGCCCTGAGTGGACACACTGGTATGTTAACCACAGCTCATGCTTTGCCATTGTGAAAGAAACAGCCTTGAGGGAATTCAAAGGCTTTGAAATTAGTTTGCAGATATGGTAGATCACCTAAATACATCTTTGAGGATTATTATTTCTCAATGGTTCATTAGTTATAAACAAATGGACTCTTAGGTACAGTACCACAAGATGGTTATAGTATAGTCATAAAAAAGTCATAGTTTAGTAATTTATAAAAAAAAGTCATAAAAAGTAATAGTCTAATGTCATGAACATTCTATATATTCTATCTTCTATAGTATATAATGTTATTAAAAAGCTATGGTAAAATAAGTCATAAAAAGTGTTGTATAATAACAAGTCATGTAGTGTTTTGTAAGTATGTAATAAAAACACAAAGACCGTCATTAATTAAATCATTACAAAGTATGTCATGAAAAACATAGTATAGCATGTTTTTAAAATGGCATAATATAGTATGCCATGAAAAATAATAAAAAGTTATTGTTTAGTATGTCATGAAAAAATCATAATATAATTTGTGTGTATATATAGCATAGTCATAGTATAGTTTTAATAATTTAAAAAAGATCAAAGAATCATATGTCTTAACAATGCCAAAAAAAGTCAGAACTTCATCAGCGTCATAAAAATGTCCTAATGTCATGTATAGTATGCCATAAAAATGTCATTAAAAAGTCAAGTCATGCTTTAGTTTGTCGTTAAAGTCATACTACAGTATTGTTTTCTGTTAAATAATGTCACAAATGTAATTGGAATTCATGGTATAGTATGTTATAAAAATGCCACAAGGATTTCCTGAAACATTCATAATATCGTACAGCACAAAAAAGTAAGTCATAAAAAGTAAAAGTATAGAATGTTATATGAAGTCATAGTATACTATGTCAAAAAAAGGTAGTAGTATAGCGTGTCCTAAAAAAACATAGTATAGTATAGCATGATGTTAAAAAAGTAAAAGATTATAGAATGTTGTAAACAGAATGTCAAAAACAGGGCTTGTAAACACAACACCTAAGTACAACATGGCAAAGCTAGAGCATGCACAGTGTTTAATATGTCACCGCTTTGTTTGCACAGGTCACATTCTTACTCTGTACACGTGGGGAGGGTGGATGATTGCCTCCGGCTCCCAGGACAAGACGGTGCGCTTCTGGGACCTGCGGGTGCCAAGCTGTGTCCGGGTTGTGGGCACAACGCTGCACGGCTCAGGTGAGTTCCATCACGACTCTTAAGGACGGCGGATCTTTTATGTGGCTGCAAATGATTTCTACCACACTCCCTACGTGTTAAGCTGCAGCAAACGTACTGCTTGTTACCATTGTGTCTCACACAGGAAGTGCAGTTGCTTCAGTGGCGGTGGATCCCAGCGGCCGCCTGCTGGCCACGGGTCAGGAGGACAGTACCTGCATGCTGTACGACATCAGAGGGGGCCGCATAGTTCAGACGTACCGCCCTCACAGCAGCGATATCCGCTCAGTGCGCTTCTCACCCGGAGCCCATCATCTTCTCACCGGCTCGTACGACAACAAAGTTATCATCAGTGACCTTCAAGGTATCAAAGCCCACATCGGGAGAACAAGAGAGTGATACACTCGCCACCATGTTAGTGCAACACAACACTGTCTTGTGACTGGATTGGCCACTCCTGTGTGACGTGTTTTTCTCTGCCCCCCACCCCCCCAGGTGACCTAACAAAGCCCCTCCCTCAGATAGTGGCAGGGGAGCACTGGGACAAGGTGATCCAGTGTAGGTGGCACCCCCATGACCGGACCTTCGTCTCCTCCTCCGCAGATCGAACTGTCGTCCTCTGGGCACCGGGCCCCTGAGCTGTTCACTGGAGAGCCGCTGGTTAACAGCAGCAGCAGCAGCAGCAGCAGCAGGAAGCACAAGAACAGTGTCCACACTTGGCAGCATGGGATCGCTAAACTGCTGCGGTGTGTGTTTGTGTACACATAGTGTGAGCATCGAGCTGTTTATATGCTGCTCAGTTTAGAGGTGTGTGTGTGTGTGTGTGAGAGAGATACCTAATAATTTTGGCTTTTGTAAGTAAAGCATACAGATTATGGAGCCTGCAAAGATGTAGTTGGAATATAGAGATGACTGATACTGAAAGCCATGAGTAAGTTCACTGCAAGCACACCTTCAAGTTAGTTTGTTTTTCTCACAATGCCAAAATACATTTTAGTCAGGTATACCAGGTTTAGTCAGAACTTGGTACAAAAAACGTCAACTTGGTGCAACATAAAGCAGTCGCCGTCTCTACAGGAAGCAGTGAGCTGGACTCTTCATGTTGTGGACAGAAGCCACGTTTGGTTATGCATATCATAATGTGCCTTTTTGTAACATTTGTAGAGATTTTTTGGGTGTGGATAGATTGAGAGATTTATTTATTTATTTGCAGCTTTATTTTGATATTTTCTCATATGTAAAATCTTGTATTGTCACTGTAATGCAGAAAATGATCACCCATAATAATAATGTGCACACCTGTATAGATTCCCGGTGTTTCTCCGAACGTCTGTTACTATTGAAAAAGTGAGAGTAATCTGCGCTTTACACAAATAATGTTGAAAATAGAAATTCAGTGATGAGTCATTTGTGTGTCAGACCCACGATTTCATTTCAATGTTGTGTTCTAAACACGCTAACTAGATCGATTGCAACATGGGAATATGGTCGGGTCTGGAGCTTCAGAAACCTGGTTTTGTGGATCCTATCAAATGCACATTGGATGTGTAGATTCAGGGTAATTCCAAAGGATGAGCACAGTAAAAGCAAAGCTTAGTGCAATTGTAAAAGGGGATTGTGTGTGTGTGTAGAAATAACAGTAGTTGTGGTAAGAGCTCAATCACTGGTCAGCTCCTCAGACTTTAGGAGAGAGGGTATGCAATCGTTATCCCACAAAATAAAAGATTAATAAAAGAAAGATACAAAATGATCAAAGAAGTTAGAAGGCTGAAGTCAAGACAATGGTTATAAGGCACTTTAAAGATAGGAATGCTGCTGGACTGCACAATGTGAAGGGAAAACTGTAGTCACATCTTTAACTTATACAAATAAGGCTCTGATTTTATCTTCACTTTTACAGAGCAGCTATGCAGACACCTGATGGATGTGAGAGAGAGAGAGAGAAGGGTGTTATGCATCATGTTTCACATTATCTGTAGCTCACAATGGCATGCTGAGTGTCGTTTGAAACCTGTGCTGTTTTAAACAATGTTTGTGCACACAAATGTGTAATGATGGCACTGCCAAGGGGTCATTGGGGTTCAATCTGTTAAAAAAAAATAAAATGGTGGCTGTCCAATACCTCATGTTGTTGCTTTTGAATGAATGGAGCTGTCAGTTAACTGATGGAATAAAGTGACAAAGTGTCATCACACTGCTCGCTGTTGTCAAAGTTTTGCCAACTAGAAACACATTCAAGTACAAAAATATGATTCGTTCTTTTTTAATTCCCTGACATATGCCGGGCGCACCGCATATATTTCTCCTCTAGGTTGTTGCCTATGTGTTGGGTATGCATCGGACTACTGACGCCTGTCCTGCACACTCCCATCACTAGCATGGCTAAACTGTACGGCTTGGGACATGCTCATGGCATTTTGGCAGAAAAAAAAAAGTATGATAAGCTACATGAGAAATAAATTGAAGATGGGAAGAATAAAAAGAAGTCATGCAGGACACAAAGAGATAGAAAAAGTGCAAGAGGTTAGAGAGAAAGGGGGTGATAGAGGGATGGAGGTAATTGCAGAGAAGAGTGCAAGCAGGGATTTAGCATCACTCACATGCTGCGCTGGATCATTCCCTCTTTTGTTAGACGGACAATGAGAGCTAGGGGTACCGGGCTTAAAAAGGATACGCACACTGTCACAGCCAGCAACCCTGGAGAGACACCAGCCAACCCAGAGGTACCAGAGAAACAAACGTGGACTTACACAGAACCTGTTTTTATTCTACTTCCAGGAAGATTCTACTTCCTTTGAGGGTCTGAAAGGCAAATCAACAAATAAGAACTTGCTTCTTTGGAGAACAAGCGGAACCACGAAGAAGAGATGAAGTTCGGAGACCTTTATCTAGGGAACAGATCTTTACCGCTAACAGACTGGGCTTGGGACCCTGGTGTTTGACAATGTTGTTGTTTATGTCATGCTACATGAACACACACATTTGGGAGTCAGATGTATCGGTCTAATTAGGATGTGATTTTAGAATTTAGGGGTTTTCAAGAGCAGCGTGGCAGTTGAGAATCAGTGGATGAAACCATTGCTTTGCTGGCTGTGTGACAGAGAGCGACACTGCTGACGGGTCAGTTGCTCAGTATTGGAAGATTAGTTAGATAGAGGGGCGTTAGCGTTGAACAATAGCTCTGAACTGCCTGATAGGCAAGCTTATTGTAACACAGCGGTTTGGGTCTAGTGCTTCGCTGGCTGTGACTGATTTGACAGCGTCACCAAAGAACTCATCCTCTCGTCTAATGTGCAGCAGGCATGTATGATTAAAAATGTTCACGTCAAATCTCTGGCTTTTATATAATATGAAAAATGCTTAATAAGGACCATCTGGTAATTCCTAAACCAGAAAAGTGACTCTAGCTATTGTTTTAAAACTGTTTTAAAGGGTAGGAACTGGTTTCATTTTGGACATTTTGTTTTGTTAGTGTGATCAGTCTGCTCTGAAACTACGGTTAAACACGCTTAGACATCGCTCAGATAGTATAGGAGACGCAGCAAGTTGGCAGCAGGTCAGTGGAAGTATCCTGGACACCTCCCGTAACCAACGTTGCAGCACATCCAGGACACTTAAGTTCTGCTCTGACTTACAACTAAAGGGCTTGATTTGCATAAGGGCGGATAGGAGAGAGGATAGTCCACTGGAACGTAGAACTGGCAAGGAAACTTGAGTGAACATTGATAATAATGTATAATGGCTATTTTTGGCTTCCAGGGCATCAATGAGTAAATCGTCAAGTACGAGGTCTAAATGATGCACGATGTCTCACCCTGTCCTCTCCTCCCTGAACAGTTGCTGCATGTTTAGGAGGACAGAGCTTCCCCTGGCTTCTATAAGATGCTGTACACTTTAGCGGGAGGGGGCACACTCTGCGGTGTGGCTGCCCTGGTGCTTCTCATTGTTTCTACGGCTACGGACTTCTGGATGCAGTACCGATACTCGGGCAGCTCAGCTAATCAGGGGCTTTGGAGGTTCTGCATCAACCACAAATGTCATGCCCACACCATAACTGTAGGTGAGTACTTCTGAAGTGGCATTTGGACCAACTGCGTGTTTCTGGGGAAATTACTCAGAATGTGAATAAATCATAATCATCATGACAACACATTTATCTGATACAATCTAGTGTCCTGTTGATCAATTAGACAGTACATGTGAAAGCAAATGATATCCGATGCCCTGACAGCATAGACAATTATTGATCAAAGATCAATATCGTTATGATCTGTCCAGAAAACAACCTAAAATGTCTGTAGATTTACTAGTGACATGAATTAGGTTGTCTAAAGACATGGCGACCTCATTCTTTACTGATGGAAAGACCACTTACTTCAATCGTGCCAACAGTGTTTGAAAAGGAGAGAAAAAAGAGAAGAGGAGCCGGTTGAAGGAAGACGAGAATTCGCCATAAATATGAAGAAAACTTTTCAAATAAAGAGAACACATTCAAATAGTCTAAAAAAGATCCAACTGCATATAGTAGCCTATAGGCCCTATACTGCAGATGAAAGTCTGCATTGTGAGTGTGAAATAAGCTCACACTGGCAAAATGACAACTTGACATTAAACATCAAAATGTCATGGCATTCAAGCTTAAACAGCAGTATTTTAAGTATCTGTTGATGTGACTGCGGTCCTGTCCTTCTTGTGTCTAGCCTTCTGGGACGCCACGCGGGCCTTCATGTTACTGGCGGTGCTGAGCTGCTTCGCCGGCGTGGTGCTCGGCCTGACCGCCTTCACCAACGGCACCAAGAACAAGAGGGTCCGTACAGGCGGCATCGCCCTGGTCCTGTCAGGTAACACTCACAATAAGCAGGTTCAATCAACTCATAACCTGGATGCACTTCTTCAAAGCAATGGGATTATAAGATTGCAGAGTCATTTTAGTGAAATCAACAGTCAGTCCAAAAACAAAACAAAAGGTTGCCGTTTTCCTTACATCAGACTCGTCTGTCAGACCTTTTTTCACTTTAAATGGTTTATATGACAGGTTATATAGGTTGGAGTTCCTTTGCTGTGTCTGGTTTGCTTATATTCATGCTTTACTTTTTATAATGTCCTCTCACCCTTCACTCTCAGGTTTTCTTGCTCTGCTGGCTTTGGCTATTTACACCGGTGTGACTGTCACTTTCTTTGGCAAGCGCTTCTTGGACTGGCGCTTTTCGTGGTCCTACATCATCGGCTGGGTGGCCATCATTTTGGCTTTTGCTGCAGGTATTTACTAAATTTTGCTAAAAAAATGTTTATTGTGAGTAAACCGTGGGGGACTGAATTCTTGGCGTCCTTGATGAGAGTATCCAAAGGTGTGCATTGCAATATTGGGCATTTTTCTTTCAGGTGTGTTTCAGCTCTGTGCTTACCAGCGGACCGCTGCAGAACCGGCTCCTTCAAATAACCCGGACGGCTGAACAAGATGCCGATTGGCTCTAGGACGTCCCTGCTGCGTTTGAGTACCTAGAATGGAATAAATAGAAATCATAAACTCCTATGTGGTTTCACTGACACTATTTTATGTTGACATAAAAAAAACGTACATTTTAAAAGGGATAATTGGCAGATCCCCTAATTTAACACCATACAGACGTGCAAACATTCAAACACCATATTCCTAATATCTAGGACCACTTGACCCAGAAAAATATAATTTGTTATGTCACTTATTATTTTTATGTTATTTTAAAACTTTTTTTAATGTCTCGAGGTTTGGAGAAAATGAAAAGTGAGAAACGCTTAATCATACTACTACTTTTAATTCCACTAAATTAAATGGCATTATGTATAACAAGGACTTCCTTTGACATTCCTTGGGTGGTGTGTGCCACTAATCAGAATTAAAATGCACATTCCAAACGTAGCGTCGTTATTGAACTGACGTGTGTATAAGAGCTTCTCCACTAGATGGCGGTCTTACGCCTCTAAACACCACAGCTGACGTCAGGCCATTCTTCAGCATAATGAAACAGAACATTTAACAGGAGATAAATGGTTCGGCCCCTCTGGGGAGTCTCGCTCATTCACAGCATATAAGGAAACGGGACGAGCTGCAGATTGCTTGAAGATGTAGATTTCTTCAGCGCAGGACTGAAGAATCCTATAGAAGACAAATGTATTTGGGAAAACTAAAGGCAGATGTATTGGACTTTGTACTTCTAAATTAATATAAATTTATTTTTACAGTTTTAAGAATGATAAAATATCAAAAGCAAGAGAGTATAAATTAGTATTAAGTGTTCACAGTTGAGTTTAAATGACTCAAAACTAGCAAGTTTCTGTCAAACCACAAAACATCTGCACTGCAAACACTTTGCAGCAACTGTCAAAACTTCTAGATCTTATAATCTTAAATATAAAGACCAAGTTGCTTTCTGTATCACTATTACCAAACGGAAAAATACCAATGAGTTAAGTGTTATGTGAATGTTTTCCATTTACCGGTGCCACTCCCAACAACGTCACGTGATCCAAGTTAATTTTTCATTCACAAAACAAAACAGGTCATTCACTTCGCAATACTCGATTTATTTTGAATAGCAAAGTCATCTCACAGAGACTACTTTGAATTACACAGAATGCAAATAAATATATTTATAGGACCATTCGAATTAAGGACATGAACAATTGATAGAAAATTATTTACAACACACTGAATAGTGCAAAAAAACCCACATAAATGCTGCCCTCATCATGGAGCTTCTTGCATCCAGGACAGTGGATGTGTGTGTGCTACCCCCTTGTGGGGGGGATCATAACAACTGACAGTACAGTATATGGCATGTTAACAAAAACCTCAGCTGAATATAAGAATGACTCTACAGACGGGATGGAGCAGAAGTAAACATATCGCTACACATCGTCGAGAACAGCTTCCACAACGAGGGTGATGTTAAATCATGGAGATGCAACGTGGATATGCGTGGTCGGGTTAGTTTAAAAACAGTGATAAGAGGGAGGGAGAAAAAAAAAAAAAAAAAAAAAAAAAAAAGCATTCTGAGAAGCTGAATGGATAAAGTCAAGTGAATCTCAAAGACAAGTAGTGTACTTTCTCAAAAATGTACATTTGAGAAATCACCAAAGCCAAAGCCGTATGAAATGTGAAACCCATCACAAGCACTTTGAAATTGACAAAAAGGAAAAGATGATGACCTAAGAACCGTGTGGCGGGTAGTGCCCACCACCCCTGAGTGAAAACAGTTTTAAAAAAGGTCTTAGCACCGTCAGATACCACACAACGCCAGCTTTGCCATTTTTCTTTTCAATCCCGAACACAACGCCTCGGACTGTGACACATTTTTTAAAGTGCACTCGCTCGATTGAGCCGTTGCTTTCACTCAACAACTTTTTTTTTTTTTCTTAAACAATTTCTTCCCCACTAAACATCAAGCCCCATTTTTTTTAAAAACAGCACACAAAAGATAAATTACATTTTTTGCCATGCATAACAATTTGTTGCATATTGAAATTTCTCCTTTTGCTTGTTGAAAACTTGGACCTTACAGCAAGGGGTGGATGCAAAATCTCCTCTTCTGGAGCGAGAATGTGCACACACAGTATCAGTCAAGTGTCGGTATTGCAGACACATGCATGAACATTAGAAATACATCGTTTGTGCCACTTTAAATAACCTGAAAATTCTAGAATTGCCATTTGGTCTTCAAGAGGCCCGTCGAAGAGACAGAGAGGTTTGTACGTTTAAACACAACTTGGCCCGACTGACGGACAGTACAGTACAGATTTTAAGTCTACTCTTGAAGACCAAAGCCGTAGAACAGTACACAAAAACATACCGATGCCTCAGACAACCTCCTCGTGTCCTGTTGGATTAAATATTTGTGCATTGATTATGCATTCATCCGCAGTTCAGGCTGCAGGGGGGGGGGGGCAACCTCTGATCATTGATCATTAAATTGTTTTAAATCATGCCAAAGACGAGGAAAGTGATACTGCGATCGCCGCTGATTGGAGAAAGAGAGAAAGGATGAGAGCATCAGGAGAGCATCGAGCCTCCACAGGACGATCTGCATTTGAGGTTTCAGTGATCAGCATTTCAAGACAGGAACCAATCAGAGAGAAGTACTCAACACAACTGAAGGGACAGAGACGGATGCATCGAGCTGATCAATTGACAGGTAGGTAGAAAATCATCTCCGTGCACTCATGCAAAAGACGTGCACTGTTGGTGCATCTTTGGTTATGCATAGCGCTACGTCTCTGGTGTCGAGGTGCAATAAATAAGTACCGTTTAGACCTGTTCAGACTGCACGCACGGCAGAGGAGTCTGTGTGAAGGATGATGTGGAACATAAACTTCAGATGTGGAACAGTTTCTGTCAAGAAAAGCGCCCGTCAACTTGGCTAAGCGTGGCACATTGCTGAAGTTAGAGCCGTTCGGCTTTTGGTTTTGAACTTCAGACGCGCTGCAACCGGGCAGTGCGTCTGTGCGCTTTTTGGCACGTCGTGGCATGTGCGTTTGTCTACTGCACGAGGAGGAGGTGTAGCCCTTCAAGTTAACAGGTAGTCTCTGAAATTGCACAGGTCGGCCATTGTTCCCGTCGCCAGCAGCACAGCCTCGAGTATATTAAATTTCTCCCGGCTGCGTTCTGCTGGAAGAGGTCGAAATAATCCTCCAAGTCTCTCCCTCGGTCGCTGAGTGTTATGTGTCCTGGTACCTGTGAAGAGACGAGAGGGAACCAGTTGAGAGCGGCGTATCAAAAGCAAACTAAACACACCCAGCTATACCCAATGATTTCGTTACTGAGCAACAAGGCTCCGCCTATTACAGGAATCTATCTGCCCCGAGAGAATAAAGCCAATTACACAACAAAGCAAACATCCGATTAAAAAGGGGAATACCAATGTTAGATATGCTCTGCAAACATATCCAACATTACAACAGAATGGTTCCTAATTATTTAGTCTCAATACTTCTTTAGAGATTAGTTTTGTCGCAGGCAATAAATTAATATTGGAGAAAGACGTCAGTCTTTAGTTTTTCATGGTATTCTAGTAAATACACAACACTGACCACCAATTGAGGATTGTCTGGGCACAAAAAAAAGGCAGACTTTACTCAATTTGTCTTTAAAAACATTGTGTAGTTGTGAGGCAGAACTTCTGTGCTGGGTAGAAGTAAACTGCTCACTTCAACATTTCCATCTTTTTGGCCACCCTCTAAGGCTTGCTGTTATTCAAAGAAGGCCTTCTCACCCGCTCTGTAAAGGGAACTGAGACAGCGCTCCTAGCGATGTCAGCTGCTCCTCCAGGGCCACGATGCGTAAACCGATGTAACCGGACAACAGCAGCAGCAGCACCACCCTGTAACCGACAAAAACACATGAGTCACCTTTACTGTCTTTTTCCTGCAGGCGTATTCGCCGTGATAAAGTTCAATAATATTGGCTTATTGCAGGTACATAGAGAACCAACAATAGCCAAACACTTCATTAATCCCTTTATTAGTATAGTCCTTTCAGAAGGTATTAAAAAGGATGTCACTCTATGACTTTACAGCACAGCCAATAAACACGAGAGCGTACAAACATCAGACGGGAGGCTTACTTATTTAAGCAGACGGGGAAAAGGAGTCTTAGGCATAATTAATGGGTTCAAATGTAGTGTAAGGGACTGCTGTGTGTTGGTGTTGGTTTGCAAAAACTAATCCAAAAGTTGTCAGGCTTGGATTTACTGGAATCCTACAAGATGACCTAGTTTGTTACTGACACAACAGGTTTCTTAGCCTTTCCTTTAAGGAGAGCGAGGAGCAGATGAAAATGATCACGAAGGACAATAAGGCATTGGATTAAAGGAAGAAGAGGGGAACTTGCTATAGAGAGGAAGTGCTACTCACAAAATCAAGTAAATAAAGAGGAGAGTGTTGAGGGTGCTGGCCTCTCTCTGAACCAGCAGGGACTTGGCCTTTTCGGTCACATTCCAAACCCACGATCTACATGAACCTGGAGAAGGAAATGCAGCATGAATATCAACGTTCTCGTGTTGGCAGGTTGTAGCTTACGACTGCACGTGTGTGTCTGCGCACATTTTGTAGATTCAAACATAAACATCTTCCAACAAACACTTCAAACACAAGACACGTTTTATGGCAGAGCCTAGAAGGACAGTCTAGTCTACCAGACACTTTCACTGATAGGCTAGTTGATTTATCAGAGTTTTCCAGGACTCAGCAAGAAGCTAGTATTAAAGTGCAGTGTGTGTGTGTGTGCGTCTTACCCGATACTGACAGCTCCTCAAAGGATGAGCTATCACTCTGCTGCATGTATAGGCTCCTGAAAGTCGGGTCATTCCCATCAGGCACTGCCTCTGAAGAAGAAAGAGAGAGAGGGGAAAAATAGAATCAGCGATAGGCGGCTATCAGACCTTGGACTTTGCACGTCAACGGGCTTGAACAGACATGACAATGAGAGATAACAGCACCGAAAAAACAAACAAAAAACAAACGTTTTGAATCCAGCGGATGTACTTTCCAAAAGGATTCTTGCAGACACTTCAATGCACCGTAGGACATGTTTGGATGTTCTCAATCATACAAGAGGATTGTAGGTACAGGTAACATTTTATTATTTAGGTTTGGCATGTACACATGATGTTGAGGCCTCTCACCTCTGTGTGGTCTGTGCAGAGGCTGGTCCTGTACAGATTGGGTCTCGGAGCTATCGAAGTGGTAGAAGCTGTCGTCCAGACTGGACTGGCTGGAGGTCTGTTGAGATGAGCGAGAAACACACATATCCACATTCAGTGCTAATAAAAAGGACAAAATGTGGTCAGAGAAAAATGTTGCATTTGCGCGCTATGAAGAGAACGTGGATACATTGTTTTTATTTTATTGTGAAAAGGTCTCTTACCACAAGTTTCATCTTATCAAAGCTGTTCTCAGCTGAGGAGAAGATGGGGCTGCTGTTTGTGCTGCCATCCTGTAACACAGAGAGGTTTCCATTGGATTTGTGAAAAGCAACTTTCATTTTGATAGTTTCGTCATCATAATATAAATAAACTAAATGTTTAGAGCTATGCAACAAGGTTACAATAGCAGGGATGCTGCCCTCTTCCCACTCTAAAGCTCTATACATTTCCACAACTACATCATTGACTGAATATGAGCAATATGAGCGTTTTTAAATCACATGAACCAGTGCAGAACTTCTGAAGATCTAAAAAGCAACTCACCTCTAGCTGAGGAGATACGGATTGCAGCAGCTGATAACATGACTCTCTGTTACGCAGCGACACAAACAGGAACTAAACAACGAGAGGGAGAATAAAAGAAGGAATATTAGTCATCTGAACCATCAAATATGCAGTCGTTGAATAGATTACATACATTGGACTTTGAACATCTCTACTTATTAATAGACTGTATGGCCATCAGAAGAAGGCTGTGTGGGGCAGAAGGTGAGAAACTGACCTTGTCTCCCTTTGTGGTGCGAATGGACAAGGCGTTGGGTACTAGTAAAGCCGTGTTCTGCTTCTTCACGATGTGGATGCAGGAAACTGGAATAACAACCTGGAAGAGCACACAACCACAAACAAAAAATGTTAGGAAAAGTGCAACAATGTGGGGAAATATCACAACAACAAAGGGAAGAGCGTCAGCCTACCTTAGTGTCCTTTAGCAGAACCGAGGAGTAGAAACAGGCATGGGTGTCGGTGATGTACAGTCGACCGTGGTAGGGCACTTCTTTCTGCAGGGCACAGATGTATGCTGGGAGAGGAGAGGAGAGAACACACACACACACACACACACACACACACACACACACACACACACACACACACACCTTTAGTTTTATGTGGTTCAGTCATTCAGTCGTGCATCCTCTCTTTCCTTTGGGTTTACCTACCGTGTATCAAGTCTTCACTTGTAGGAATGTCTGGAAATAACTTGTGGAATGTCTTGTTGTGCTTTATGAAACTCTAAAAAAGAGAGAGACGAGAAAAAAGAAAATGAAGCAGAAATCTTTCAACGAATGCACCGGTCCTAAAAGAACCACTTCCACCTGACAAGTATAAACATCTATTTCTTCAAATGTGTACTTACACTTTGTGATCCGGTGCCTTCCGTCCTCTCAAAGCCTCGGATGTTGTCGTCATCGAATGTCTGCGACCTGCGGAGACAACGATCACAGCCGTCAGTTTACTAGAGACGCTACACGACTCCCCGACACCTCAAGGTTTTTTGGCAGCGTCAAATAAATATTTGATAATAAAATTATTTGATCTATGGTTAGTGTTGATGTTCCTCAATCCAAAATGATACGTGTTGAAAGTGGCTGGGTAGTTACACAGTCACAGAGGCAGCAGTGGGGATGAATACCAACAAATATCACAAATCTACCTCAAACATGAACCATGTGAGGAGCCACTCGCACAGTCATGAGTGTGTCACAGCTGAACACCAGTTGGTCTTGTGATACATGTTCAGAGTAGCCGTGTCTCCACTACGACCAACGTGTGATTTACTGCACTTCTAGATTGAGAAATAGTATTCTACACACATCCGATTCACTACTTATATTTCAGTGTCAAGATCTAAATGTGGCCCGTCAGAATGTAGATCTGTTTCTATGAAAGTGGTCCATGATTATCTGTAAAATGCTGAGTTTGGCCCCTCTGTGTGTGCTTGTTCAGGATTGTATTCAACAGTTTTAACACATTTAAAGTTGGGTTGTTTCTGGTATTTTGTATCATTTATTATTTTCCCGTCAGTCCTACCTGATTGCTTCTTGTCTGGTGAGGGTTTTGTGATGTTGCTCGAGCAGGGCAGCCTCCAAACTCAAGGCCTTCCTGGTCTCCGCCTTCCTGATGCTGCTGTTGCCCGGGCTGCTCCGGCTTTTCTTCACTTTGGCTGGCAGCCCGCCACCACTGCTCTCTACCGGGTAGCTGCTGGATATGGGGGGAGAGAAAAAAGCAGGTTGAGCCGCATTCAAGACATTGTTTGACAGTAATTTTAAAGTGCACATACAATGAGCATGCGGAATTTCTCTTGCAAGGTTATTGCAAAACAGACCACGATTACTGGCAATTTCACAATTTCACTAGTATGTGAAAAAACAACCCCACTGCCAAAAAAAATTCCCCTCTGTAGAAATGTTCATTCAGAAAACAAGTCATTTCACAGCAAGCTAAAAACTGAAACACAGATAGTAAATAAAAGTCATGAATGATGAGAACATATTAAACATGAAACAGGAGGAAGTCAGTGTGGGAAATCAACAACATTCACCACCGGAATAATAAATCTATAAATGACTCTTGTGCAAAGATGCCCGGCACAATTTCCTGCACAGTCATCATCTATCAGCAAAGATTAGCAGAGTTAAACACTCTGAACTTCAACAGCACGCATCAGGCTTTACCTTGCCGTGAGTTTGGGTTACTTATCAATCATTGTTTTCAGATCTTAATAGCTAAAAAAATTCCACTCTACTTAAATGAAAGGCTGTGTGATGACTGGACTGACATCCAGCAGACCTCGCGTTTATCTTTATGATATGCTGGGAAAGTTTTATTGACACGCTTTCGTCAGTGCTCCGCTTGTGGCTGTGCGATTCCACCTCCTCGCTGCTTTACAAGCCGATCAAGGTAGACTCATGCTCTAAAAGTGACAAGTCGCTGCACATATACCATTTCAATAAAAAAATAATAATAACCTGTCTTGTAAAAAGGAAGGTTGCCGGGTTTACTACAGCCAGTGTGCTCTTAAAAAGACCATGGCCTGTCCTTGACCCGGAACAAACGAGCCGAAAATTCATTAAAAAAATCCACTGAGTTGAAATCTTATGACACAAATACAATGCAGCTCAAATATGAGGCTACACAAGCCTAAGCCCCATCTCAGCAAAAAAAAAAACAAACAAAAAAAAAAAAACACCCTCAACTACTAAAGACAGACAACAACAAAGAACAGCTTACCTGGTGAATCGCTTTGATGAACGGAAACTCATGTACCTACTGACGGTCGGCATTTCCTTTTACAGTAAGAAATGAACTCAAAACAATCGAGTATCTCCAAGCTGTACAGACTGGCTTCACACCATCAAAGTGGAGATGTTACCAAATAAAAGACTAAGATTACAAAAACACTTCTCCAAAAAAGATCTTTTACAGTTCTCTTTAGGTTTTGAATGATCCAAGATGAGTTGTTGTCCTCGTTAAGTCAAGATCTTTCGCCGCATCTTGCCAGAAAACCACCACTGCATTTCAGTGTGCTGGTAAGAGGAAGCCACTTTGTGTTAAGAATGGTGTGACACTCCGTAGGCTGACGTCAAACTCAGCCACTCCCCCAGAGTTAGACAAGCATGAGTGTGTATACACAATCTCTCACGCACACACAATCTCTCCATCTCTCCATCTCTCCATCTCACACACACACACACACACACACACACACACACACACACACAC